TAAATCTCCTGCTTTAATTAAAATGAGATGTTTTGAGCCTTTTTGCACATTCTCAAGCACAAATATAGACAACTTTTTAGCATTAATTTTCAAAAATATCGTTAAGCAACAAATTTTTCTTCGAAATTCATACCGGTGAAATTCCGGTTTCATCCGGCCCGGTTGGCTTTTTCAACCGGTACCGGTTTGCCGGACCGGTTCCAGCTCTGTTCTCTTCTTGCGACTTTACACTATTGATTATCTATCTCTAGAATACTCACTCATTAAAGACGAACTTAAAAAGTGACAAAAAAATAATAATGAACCGTTTTGAGAAAACAAGATAATTTGAACTGTGATTAACATGTGAAGACTGATCTTAAAGAGGTACAATGTGACTAAGAAAAAGAAAGAAAAAAAAATCTAACGTGGCTACTAAGCTAAACTAACAAATAACTAGTGACCTAAAAGATGTGATCAATTATCAACTCATCGTGAATCTTTTTCTCGTGACATTTAAATGGACAGAGTCTTGTGTTTGACATTTAAAAAGCCGACACATACGTAGAATTAATAAAAATAATTATCAATAGAAATTTGCCGGACGTTTATAGAAAGAAAAAGTGGATTATATTTCTCTTATCTAATTTCATTTCTAAAAGTAAATTTATCGGTAATAAGTATCATCATTTTAAATATTGTATCTTCGAAATATAAGAAAAAAATCTTATTAGTAATATACGATTTTTTTTCTTGTTCAATTAATGTCTATATTTTCAGCTACTTTGCGAAAATCTCGTACAAAAGAAGAAGTTGTTGCATCGTAGTATTTTTCATTGATCATGATATCAAAAGAGATAAATACAAGTTGAGAAGATGGTTACCAGTGAGTGGCAAGAATATAGTCATTCTTCTAGTAAAAATTATACAAATTCGTTAGTTACTAAATTTATATTATGAATGATTATTGAAAATTCAATATTTTGAATAATAAGCATTATTCTTATCAACTGAAGCATTGAATTGATTTCTGTATTTCATTCATTAGTTTTAACCTTCTCTTGCTAAAGCAAGATTTTAAGAATGATAAATATTTCATGGTAAATGGCAGATATTTTTTCTGTATATTTAAGGAATTCAATGACCCTTTATATATCATTTTCTGATTTTATTAATGGAAAACAATTGGATGAATTTATTCATACCCAACTACTTTTAGAAATCTTAATATTTTTTAAAAATATTTTCATTTTCCGTAGGTATCGTTTTTCTCTTTTTTTTCTCTTTTGATACTTGTACGATACATTACATATTTAGTGCTCTAATTCAAAGAACACATTTGACTAAGAAAATTTTCGTATACTAGCAAATAGTGTCAGCATGTCTCTTGTATTGAAACAGACTTTTCTTACGTCGATTACTATAGACTTATAACACTAAATGCGACTTCTTCCCATTTTACAACGAGAATTAATAAACGATAAAAACAATCAACACACGTAGGCTTTATGATTTTCGCACACATTCACATCTCGATTCTCCACCACACCAACACACACTCTCAATTAATATCATTAAATAAGCGAAAGATCATATTTTTAAAAGTTATTCAAGACGAAAAGTTACAAACCCAACAGGTTCATCGTCGGATTTCAAAAAGTTTAATATAAAATACTATTTCGAATCATATCCCATACGTATATCAATAGACTTTTTCAACATAATCAACGCGTCAAAGTCTTGCTTCAATAGTAAATACGCCAATGCAATGCTATCGAAGAGTGTACAAAATTTAGAGACCAAGCAATGCTGTGGTGGTAAATAATTTTCTAATATATCTTTCGCCTGCAACAATTTTTCTAATGCTTGGGTATATTTACTTTTCTTCAATAAACATATACCTATCGAATATAACGTATCAGCTTGTTGATCTGGTGACTCGCTCGACTGACTATTCAATTTATCTTGATAATATTTCAATGATTTTTCGGCATCGAATTCTGATTTTTGTCTAGAATTCTCATCAATTGTATCAGCTTGTTCTTCATATATAATAGCATCTTCATAGTTACCTTGTCTTACATAGATATCATATATTTTTCTGCATAGTATAGCGAAATCATAGCGGTCAGCATCGTGATTCATCATTCGTTCTAATACTTGTTTATAATACGATAGTGCAGTTTCGACATCACCTTTTGCTTGCCATACATCACCAATATGAATATAAATTTTTTCTCTTAAATTATGGTTACTATCTAATGATGATAATGCAATTTCATAGTGGAACAAAGCATCATCAAATTTAAAAAGATGAAAATAATTATACCCAATAATAATATTAATAATAACAGCTTTCGAATCATTAATAAAGCTTTCATCATAAAGAAGATCTTTAAGGTATTCGATGACTTTTTCGTAGTTACCTAAAATACTAGCTAGATAATAGACATTAATACCAACTTTTTCTGTTAATAAATCTTTCCAATGAAATGATCTTCCTATTAGCATGGTGAAGTTTTTTCGAAACATTTTCATGTCGTCTACTTTCATAAATAAATGATCCCAACATGTTACAAGATTTAATTGATTTTTGAAAACATCCATGAATTGTTTCATTTGTTCGGCAGTATCATTATGTCGAATAAGTTTAACAATCCATATAGAGTCATTTTCTTTCTCTACAGAATCAACACAAAATACCGCGCCAGGAAAGAATAAAATTTCTTTTTCACCTGAATATGCACTTAATTGTGAAATATCCGCAAATGGATGAAGATCGTTATTATTCCCCTTTAAGAGATCAATTTCAAATATAACTCCAGTTTCAGCACCATGTATAAAAGCATGAGCCACCTTCTTATTAAGTGAAGTAGACATAGATGAATTTACTGAGATTAGATATCCAATGTTGGATTGTAAACTCTCTAAATCCCTTTTACCTAGAATTTGTCCACGATAAACTGTTGAATGGTTTTCTTTTTGTTGTTGTCTCGATAATTTCTTCAGTTGGTTATAAATAAGTATAATAACATATCGAAATTTACAAATTAAATCGATATTTCGTTTACAAAATGCTTCATTTACAAGTCGATGAACAAATGAGTCTTTTGTGTACCAATTTATTGCATCATCATTTACACAGTTTTTCTCAAAATTATGAATATATTCAGGTTGTTTTGCATTAGTCGAGTATTCTAATTGACATTGTTGTCTCATAGATTTTTTTCCAGTCATCCATATTTATATTAGCATCGTTAACAAGATAATATAGGAACAGTTGATTCCATAAAAGACGGTAAGAATTTTTATCCGAACTCATTAAAGACTGATGAATTGTAATATCATCTAAACAAGAATTCATTATTGAGAAATCATCTCTACATATCAATATAATATCATGACGTAATCCTTCGATTAATGTTGATTCATCTTTAAAAATGCCAACTATTTTTAAATATTCTTCTTTTTTAAATCGGGTGTCTTGAACATTTCTTTGTAGAACGTAAATTGATAGAATTTGATGAAGATTATTAAAATATGGGGTGTGGGTGGGGGTGTGGGGGTGTGGGTGTGGGTGTGTGGGTGTGGGTGTGGGTGTGGGGGTGGGTGTGTGTGTGGGTGTGTGGGTGGGGGT